CTTTTACTCTACTCTATATCGAAACCAGTCAGCAGTTCAGTTAGAGACGTCACATCCCTTAATTAGAATATTTGTCACGTTGGCACCGCTCACCGGCGCGCGCAATATTCAATTTGCGAACGCCGCCATGATGGAGTATGCGCCATTTGTAACGGTTACCGAAGGTTATGCGTGTGATGAATAGAGGTTTTGTTCAAATCAATTTTATGGTAAAATTATGAGCGTGGTGGAGAACGCGGACGTATAATTTTTGTAACGATTTCAGTGTTACGCCGTTTAAGTTTTAATGGTGGGCTCTCAATAATACCACTTACGGCATGGATTGATTCTCGTATGTATTTATGGATAAATATAGGATTTATTAAAATACCGCTCCATTAAGTTTGAAACCCGATTGAACCATTATTTATTATTGCCAGTCAGTACTAATTATTTTACAATTAGCCGAGAGCTGGTTTTAGGAATAAAATATACCTAACCAAATCACTCCGATTGAAATGTTAATTTAAAATATTCAGGAAGATGGTCATAATTTCATATTTGGATTTAATTCTTTTGAAAAACGAATACCAATAATACCAACTTACTAAAAAAACTACCTACGACATTATTGCCAACTCACGCGCGCCTGAAAAATAGTTTCAGGTTTTTCACAAATTCAGTAAAAGTATTTGCAATGATTACAGAGTTTCTAGGAATCTGTCGTCTCGGCTCTAGTCACGCTTTCCAGTTCAGTCTAGTTTAAACTAACAACTGCCAATCGAAAGTATTATCTTGTTTTAATTCAAAGATCATGCTTTTAATATCACCAATTGATACATTAGTAAAGTCAAACATTTGTATAATGCTCCATGCATTAAAAACACTGTGTGCTTACCATGAGCTTACGTTAGGTGTGCTCGCTAGCGACTGCGTAAAAATTACATTAAATGTATGACATATTCTTCTTCTTTCAAGAAATAAAATTTTCATAGATTTTTTTGACGTACTCGCTAGCGAGCACACCTAACGTAAACTCATGGTAAGCAAACTGTTGTGCTAAACTTTTGAACAAATATTGCGAATGGGTCGACATTTGACATGGTCATCATGATCTTTGATAATAAGTTGATTCAAGCCTGCAATGTCTAAAAACACAAAACGTTTCCTCTATGTGCCCCTCTCAATGTCATATTTTTCCATCGCAAAAGTGCCGATACGTAGTAAAATAGAAACAGATCCTCGAATAATTAGAAATAACGTCCGGTAGAACCCCCCGACGTTGCGAATCCATAATTTCAAGAGAACCATACTTTTTAACCTCTAGACTACGCAAAATCATGTTATAGGTTACTGCTTTCGAAACGCCACTGCGAAAGTGATTGCATCTTTCTAGACTAGACTCGGCCCGTATTAAAAAAGGCAGAGTAAGAAAAACATAAAAATGTTCTTGACGCAATATCTCGATGACTAATTCCGATTTGGTGTAGAAGACCTAGTTAGGAATAGGCATTTCATGAAAATATCTATCAATATTGAAATAACTGTAAGTGAGATGTTGAATTTAGTAAATTGATTTTCTAGGCTCTATTTGAGTAGTACCTACCGTGGAATTAGTTTAGAATTTTCTATATGTTGCTGTTATTGGGAAAGCCTTACTAAATTCATAACTTCAATGAACCAAATATTGGATCATAAGTACGAATACAATAGTCTAAATATAGAAAGAAAACATTGAAAAGCGACAACAATAATAACTCCAGACACATTATTTTGAGGGTGAATTATGGCATTTCAGGGACCTTTATTCCAATATAATAACACAGCCCTATCAATAACAATAGAATACTATTTTCTTCAAAAAGTTTGCTTATCTCATATTTAAAGTTAATTTTGTTAGGAGACGACATAAAATACTGTGATGGAAGAATAATAGATAAAAATAGGGAGCACCTAGGTATATGGATAAGTGTTTTGTTTTTGTTTTAATTCTCGATCAGATATTAACGTTTTTCAAGACATTGCAGACAGCATCACCCGACCTCAAATTGACGGACTTTCCCATATTTTGAATTTCACCGCTTATTCAAAAGTATTGTTTTTTTTAAATTTTCTATCAGGCTGCAAAAAGGACTTACCTGTATCACCCTCATCGGCAGACCGGTTTCCTTGGCCAGCTGCTCGCGTATATGCCTCGTCGGCTTCGGTGTCTGACTGAACGCCGACTTCAGGATCTCCAACTGCTTCGCCTTGATGGTGGTCCTCGGTCCCCGCCGCTTGGAGCCTCCATTGCCATCATCAGGGGACTTGTTCTCGGCCTGCGAGTCTCGGGTCTCTGGGTCTCCGTCCAACGAGCCCTGGGAGGGGAAGAAAAACAACTGAATGCGACAATGTGGTCGGGCATCGGTTCCGGGGGATTGGGATTGTAGTTTCAAAGTGATTTTGGGAATATTTTCAACTATTAGGTTGAGTTTTCAATAAATCTGACAAATGGCATTCTTCGGGTTAAAAAAATATATCTCGGAGACTGTTGCAAATTATTTTGTTTATGTTCTTAAATGAAAATAATGCTGAATTTAAATTTAAATTTACAAAAAGAATTTTATGGTTCTTATGAAATAATACATTATTTTGAAAAAAAAAAAACTATTACAAACTTCATAATTCTTTAGTAGGACTTTTTATTAGCACATCAAGAATCAAAGGATCTTCTTTACTTGAAAGAAAATGGTTGTCGAAGGAACGTCTTATAGTACGAGAGCCCACGACCAAAACCATGTCTCATAGCAATACGGCAAAAACCCTATAAAATCGTTAGATTGTATGATTCTGAACCCGACTAGGTGTGTAGTAACGGTCGAAAGTGTAGCAACTGCGTGGGAGGCCATTTCTGCTGTGTCAAAAAAAAAGACAGTCGGTATTATAGCAATACGTCTGATAGTGAAAATGTACATAGATTTTATAATTGTATTACGAAAAAGTTTGTTTTCAGACATTTTGCGCGTAGCATATAGCCTG